TATTAGTAAAATTATTACATAACTTTGTCAAAGTTAATTTATAGGTTAAATCCTATATGTCTTAATGGCTCATCCAATTCAATTAGGTCTTCAACATGCTACATCCCCTATTGTAGAACTACTGACCTTCTATGACCATGCTCTTATACTTATTTTCATAATTAGTTCCCGGGTCCTACATATTATCTCCCTAATACTGACAACAAAACTCATACTAGCACCATAAATGCCAAGAAATTGAGACTGTATAAACTATTTTTCCCGACATTACCCTAATTTTAATTGCCCTTCCATATCTACCTATTCTGCACATAACTGATGAGATTAACAACTCTTCTCTCACTGTCAAAGCAATTGGCGACCAACGATATTGAAGTTATGAGTATAACTGACTACGAAGAGCTAGGCTTCGATACTTACATAATTCCAACAGCAGACTTAAAGCCAGGAGAACTTCAACTCATCAAAGTTGATAACCTAACAATCCTCTCAACAGAAATCCCTATCCGCATATTAATCTCATCTGAAAATGTCCTGCACTCATGAACTGTCTCCTCATTAGGTAGGCCTCAAAACAGATGCAATCCCTGGATGCTTAAATCAAACTACCTTAACTGTCACACAACCAGGCCTTTACTATAGACAATACTCAAAAATTTGTGGATTTAACCACAGTTTTATACTTACTGTTCTAGAATTAACACCCTGAGGATGGGGTGAAACCTGATCCACGTCTACACTATAATATTACTATTAAGCTAATCTAGCATTAGATACCTTTTAAGTTAAAGGCTGAGGGGATCTGCAACTCTCTCTAGTGAATGCCTCTACTAGATGCTTCCACATGAGCCACTGTCATCCCGCCAATAATTGTAACTTTATTTTTCATTATTCAGTAAATTACCAAATTTCATTTATTACATACCTCCTGCACCAAAAACAAAATGCAAAAACATAAACCCCCTGAGAATTAAAATGAATAAAAATCTATTCACCTCTTTTATTACCCCAAAAACTCTAAGCCTACCCATAGTAATATTAATCATTTTATTCCCCACCATACTATTTCCAACCTCTAGTCATTTAATCAGTAACTGGTTAACTTCCATTCAGCAATGACTAATCCAACTTGTACTAAAACGAATTCATAATGTTAAAGGGCAAACCTGATCCCTTATACTGATCTCCCTAATTCTCTTTACTGCTTCGACCAACCTCCTCAGGCTCCTACCCCATTCATCTACACCAACTACCCAAGTATCAATAAATCTAGGTATAGCAATCCCCCTACGAGCTGGCGCAGTAATTATAGACTTCTGCTTTAAGACGAAAGCTTCCTTCTGTCACAAGGCATTTATGTCCATTCCACTTATCCCTATGTTAGGAGCTCTCTCAGCCCTCCTAATAACATCTGGTCTGGCCATGTGATTTCACTTTAACTCTATCACCCTGACTGACCAACACACTGACAATATACCAATGATGACGTGACATTATCCGAGAAAGTACATTCCAAGGCCACCACACATTCATCATCCAAAAAGGCCTCCAATATGGAATAACTCTATATATTATCTAAGAAGTATTGTTTTTTGCTGGCTTCTTCTGAGCATTCTACCTCTCTAGTCTAGCCCTGACTCCAAAATTAGGAGGGTATTGACCCCCAACAGGAACTTTTCCCCTCAACCCCTTAGAAGTCCCCCTCCTAAATACATCTGTATTACTCCCATCAGGAGGTTCAATTGTTTGAGTCCACCACAGCTTAACAGAAGGTAATCGAAAACAAATACTTCAAGCATTATCAATCACAATTACTTTAAATATTTACTTTGTCCTCCTACAAACCTCAGAAAATTTTGAGGCCCCCCTTTACTATCTCTGAGGGGATCAACAGCTGAACATTCTTTATAGCCACAGGCTTTCACGGACGTCACATTATTGGATCAACATTTCTCACTATCTGCCTCCTCCGCCAATTAAAATTCCACTTTACAGATCAACCACTTTGGTTTTGAAGCTGCTGCTGGATATTGACACTTCGTAGATGTAGTATGACTATTCTTCTATGTCTCTATTGATGAGGGTCACACTCTCTTAGTACAAACACTGCCACTGAGTTTCGGTCAATTAGCCTCGGTAATGCCCTAAAGAGAGTAATTAACCTAACACTAGCCCTAGTGACTGACACCTTACTGGCCATCTTACTAATAATAATTGCATTTTGACTCCCACAATTTAATATCTGTGTAGAAAAATCCAACCCCTATGAATGCAGATTTGACCTAATAGCCTCTGCCCACCCCGCTTTTTCCATGAAATTCTTTCTAATGGACATCACGTTCCTACTCTTTGACTTAGAAATTGCTCTACTACTGCCTCTTCCATGAGCCCTTTAAACAATCAACCTAAAACTAATAATCAGTACAGCTCTTATACTAGTGACCATTTTAATTCTAGACTTGACCTATGAATAAGCCCAAAAAGGGCTTATTGACTGAATTGAATTGTAAGTCAAAATAAGTGATTTTGACTCATTAGATTAAGGTAGACCATAATTATCAAATGCCTTCTATTTATATCAACATTAGCATATACCATATCATTGCTAGGAGTATTGGTCTATCGATCCCACCTAATATCATCCCTGCTATGCCTAGAAGGCATAATACTATCAATGTTTATCATAAATGCTCCTATAACTTTAAACACACATTTCGCTCTAGTATCCATAATACCCATTACCTTCCTAGTATTTGCTGCCTGTGAGGTTGCAGTGGGCCTCACATTACTAGTTTCAATATCCAATATATGTGGCCTAGATTATGTACAAAATCTAAATTACTTCAATGCTAAAATTTGTTATTCTAATAATTATACTATTACCAATGACATGATGCTCTAAAAATTCTATAATCTGAATCCACATGGTTACCCACAGTCTACTCATCAGCCTACTATTTTTTAATAAATTCACCAATAACTCATCCAACTTCTCATTAATCTTATCTTCTGACGTCACTCCTTCTAATCTTAACAACCTGACTGCTGCCTCTTATAATCCTAGCAAGCCAATTTCATCTGTCCAATGAATCACTCCCAAGAAAAAAACTCTGTATTTCTGTACTGATCTTCCTACAGACTTTTTTTTTTTTTTTTTTTTGAGACAGAGTTTCACTGTTGTTACCCAGACTGGAGTGCAATGGCTCGATCTCGGCTCACTGCAACCTCCGCCTTCTGGGTTCAAGCAATTCTGCCGCCTCAGCCTCCCGAGTAGCTGGGACTACAGGCACGCACCACCATGCCTAGCTAATTTTTTGTATTTTTAGTAGAGACAGGGTTTCACCTCGTTGACCAGGATGGTCTCAATCTCTTGACCTACAGACTTTTTAAATACAACATTTACAGCCACAGAACTATATTTTATATCCTCTTTGAAACCAATGTTTCAGGATACTCCTCAGTAGCCATCGCCATAGTATAGCCAAAAACAACCATCATGCCACCCAAATAAATCAAAAAGATTATCGGCCCCACAAAAAAAAACAACAAAATTCAACACAATACCACAACCTACAGCACTACTAATAATTAGTCCCAGACCTCCATAGATAGGAGAAAGTTTCAAAGGGAAACCTACAAACCCTACAACCAAAATAATACTTAATAAAAACATAGTATATGCCATTATAGTCCTACATGGACTATAACCATAACTAATGACAGGAAAAATCATCATTGTATTTCAGTTATAAGAACATTAATGACCAATGCTTGCAAAACACACCAACAAAAATTAATAATCACTCATTCATTGACCTTCCCACACCAACTAACACTGCTATATGATGAAATTTTGGGTCACTTCTTGGTGCCTGCCTAACCCTCTAGATCATTACAGGGTTATTTTTAGCCAGGTACTACACATCAGACACTTCAACTGCCTTCCTTTCAGTCACTCACATCTGCCAAGATGTAAACTATGGTTGAATGGTTAACTATCTTCATGCTAACAGCACTTCAATATTTTTCATCTGTCTGTTCTTACAAATCGGCTGAGGCTTATACTACAGCTCATTCGCATTCCTAGAGACCTGAAATCCTGGCACTATCCTCCTACTCACAACCATAGTGACAATATTCACAGGCTACATGCTTCCATGAGGCCAGATATCATTCTGAGGTGCTACAGTGATTACAAATTTACTGTCAGCCATCCCATATATTAGAACTGACCTTATACAATGAATCTGATGCGAATTCTCAGTTGACAAAGCCACCCTTACACAATTTTTTGCTTTCCCTTTCATCTTAACCTTCATCAACACAGATCTAGTAGCTTTTCACCTTATTCCTACATGAAACAGGCTTAGAACACAAGTGGGAGAGGAACACGAAGTCAGAGATAGGTTTTGCTCTTACCTGCATAGCAGCTTCATTGGCAGCATCCCAGGCGCTAACGGAGTCACCGGGGTCTGTGGCGCGACAGCGGGGTCCGAGGCACTTCAGCGGCGGTGTCCCAGGCGCGGATGGCATCTGCAGCGCGGTTGATGCATCGGGAGTGTCGGCGGCGCGGTAGGCTCGTCGGAGGCATCCGCGGCTCAGTCAGCGGTTTGGCGGCGTCCCAGGCGATGACAGCGTCAGTGGCATCGGCGGCACGAAGGCGCCTTGGTGGCGCCCCCAGCTCGGTCTGCGTCAGCGGCATCTGCGGTGTGTCAGGGATGTCCGCGGTGCGGTCGGCGCGTTGGCGGCATCTGCCTCGCGACGGCGTCCCAGGCGCGGATGGCATCGGCGGCGCGGTCGGCACATTGGAAGTGTCCGCGGCGCAGTAGGCTCCTCTGGGTCGGCGGCGTCCCAGGCGCTGACAGTGTCAGTGGTGTCGGCGGCGCGTCGGGGGCATCAGCGGCTTCGGAGGCGCGGTCCTCGCGTCGGTGGCGTCCACGCATCGGGGGCGTCCACGCATCGGGGGCGTCCGCGGCGAGGTCGGCTCGTCAGGGGCGTACATGGCGCATCGGCGGCGTCTACGGTGCGTCGGCGGCGTCCTCGAAGTCTGCAGCGCGACGGCGGCATCCGAGGCGCGGATGGAATCTACGGCGCAGTTGGCGCGTAGGTAATGTCGGTGGCGCGGTAGGCTCGTCGGGGCAGTCTCGGCGCTGTCAGCGGGTCCGCGGCGTCCCAGGCGCTGACAGCGTCCGTGGCGTCGGCAGCGTGGTCTGCCGTCGGGAGCATCAGCGGCGTCAGCGGCGCTGTCCGCGCGTCGGGGGCCGGCGCGGTTGGCGTCGGCGGCATCCAGAGGGTTTGCGGCGTCTGGGCGTCAGGGGCGTCGGCGGCTAGGTCGGCGAGTCAGGGGCGTCCGTGGCACGTCGGCGGGGTCTGCAGCGCGACGGCAGCGTCCGAGGCGCGGTTGGCGCGTCGGGGGCGTCCGCCGCGCGGTTGGCGTCAGCGGCATCGGCGTGTCAGGGACGTCCTCGACGCGGTCGGCGCGTCCAGAGGGTCTGCGGCGCTTTGGCGGCGTCCGTGGGGTCTGCGGCGCGGTAGGCGCGGGCCGTTGCGTCGACGGCGCGCTGAGTTAGGGTTTACCGGGACATCCGCACAGCGTTTCCGAGGTGAGTGCCGCGGCGGGGCGGGGAGGCGGCGGGGATCTGCACTGAAAGTTAAAGGTTTAGTAGGAAGTCAAGGTTTAGAGGGAAGTCCACCCAGCCTTTCCGAGGTGAGGGCGCCGCTCCAAGCCGGGAGAGCGGTGAGTCCAGGACCCGCGGCGCACAGCTGGGTCGATGTGCGCGCCGGGGGCCTCCACAACTTTTGCTGTTTCAGCGTGGCGGGTGCGCCCGGCCCCCCGAGCGCTTAAGTTCCCTGAGTTGGATTCCTCGTCTGCCGCTGCCAGACGCAGCCCTGCTCTCGTGGGCTCTGGGGAAGAAATTCGCGGGCGGGTCTTCCTGTGGCATCCCAGCGGGTGGAGGGATGGAGCAGCTTCGGGGGCACATCCTCCTAGATCTGGTGGAGGGCATTAACCCTTTGCCCCACTGTTGAGGCCAGAAATCCGTTCCCTCTGGGACCTGAGGAGCAAGAAATCTCAAGCCCCAAATTTGCAAAGTTGGGGTCTTTATTGGCCTCCAGGATTCCGCACCTGGCGTTGTCTCCAGCCTGGCGGTGGGCAACCCAGGTGTGCCAGATCCAAGATGCACTAGGGGAGCATTTGTGGCTACAAATCGCCTCAGGACTAGCGGGGCAAACCTCAAATTAACCGCAGCATTTCCAGTAGGTTGGACTGTGGTGCTGCTGTTTGCACTCCAAAGAGTTGCTGTAGTTTCCCTGTGTCTGCTTTGGGAGCTTCTCAGATCATCTCGTTTGGCATCCTCTCACAGAAGAGTCAAGACTTTTGGAATGCTTTCCTGGCTTTGGTTCTGTCTTTTGCTGCTTTAGCTGCTTTCAAAAGGAAGTCTTTTCTTGCAGTGCTATCTTTTCTTTGACTCCCAGTACTTGATGAAGTTAAAGAAAAGTAATCTGCTGGTAGTTTTTAATCTTTGTTCTGAGCTGATACGTGTTAGTAGATTTTTTGTTTTTAAATTTTATTGGTAAAATTTCACCTGTGAACCAGAAGCTCGTTTTTTCTCTTCTAAAATGTTAGCTTTAAGATTTCTGAGAACTTTGTGTCAAAGAAATCTTGGAAAAGTTACTGAAGTCTACAGAAGAAGCTCACAATTTTAAATGTGCAGTTGGTCCCGGGGCAGTGGATCACAGCTGTAATCTCAGCACTTCGGAGGCCAAGGTGAGCAGATCAGTTGAGCCCAGGAGTTCCAGACCAGCCTGGGCAATATGGCAAAACCCCATCTCTACTGAAAAAACAAAAATCAGCTTTGTGTGGTGGTGTGTGCCTGTAGTCCTAGCTACGCAGCAGGCCGAGATCGGGGGAGGATCACCTGAGCCTGGGAGGTTGAGATTACAGTGAGCCATGATCATGCTAGTGCACTCAGGCCTGGATGGCAGAGCGAGAGCCAGTCTCAAGAAACGAAAAAAAAAAAAAATACAGGTAATAAATTTACGCTAAGTAAATTTCGCCACAAATCAAGAAATAGAACATTACTAGATTGGTGTATATATGTAGGAGTGGCATTGTTGGTTTTAGAGGTATATGAATGACAAAACTTTGGTATCAGTTATTGTTGATCATTTTCACAAAGTGGTTGTACCGTTTAGCAGGGAATATTCTGGTTACCCCACATCTTTGCTGATGCTTGTCAATTAAAAATTATTTTGCCATTCTGGTAGAGGTGCAGTAATATATCGGTGTGGTTTCATTTTGCATTTTCCTGGTATTGAGATTGATATTTTTTATTGCCATTTATATGTCCTCCTTTGTGAAGTGCCTGTTCAATCTTTGTATCCTGTTTTCATTGATATGCTTTTCTGTTGATTTGTAATACTTTATTCTGGATGTGCATCCTTTCTAGGATATATGTGTATTATATGTATTACATTTCTCTATTTTGCAAACTGTAGAATGCCTTTTCTCTCTTTTAATGGTGTTTTTACATGAATGGAGATTCTCCAGTTTTGTTTTGGTTTTTTTTTTTTTTTTGAGATGGGATCTCATTCTGTTGTTTAGGCTGCAGTGTAGTGGTACAATCACAGCTCAGTGCAACCTCCACCTCCCAAGGCTCAAGCGATCCTCCCCAGTCAACCTCCTGAGTAACTGAGACCATAGGCGTGTGCCACCGTGCCTGGCTAAGTTTGTATTTTTTTGTAGAGATGGGGATTCACCGTTTTTCCAGGTTGGTCTCAAACTCTTGGGCTCAAGGAGACTGCCTGCTTCAGCCTCCCAGAGTGCTGGGATTACAGGTTCGAGCCAACCCACCCACCCATGATTCACTTGGATGTGACTCCTTGATCGAGTGACTGCTTGATCCAGCACCATGTATGGAAAAGATCATCTTTGTCCTTCTGCACTGTGTAGCACATTTTTTCATCAATTGGGTGGCTGTATGGGCATCTGATTGACGAAATCACTGTGGGTCTGTTTCTGGACCAACCTGGGCAACATAGCAAGATCCAATCTCTACAAAAAAATAATAAATAATAAGAAATACATGAAATTTTTTAAGTGGGTAGAGCAGATGGAGTCATAGGTGGTAATTTATAAATGATTGTCAATTTCTTGGCTATGTACAGGTGTTGGTAAGTGAGATCTGTTGGGAGTTCAGGCAACATATATTAAGTGAATTCTATGGTGTTCAGAATGATTGCTGGATGTTCGTTGTGACTTCAATTAGATGTTATTTGCGCCTCACAGAGCTACAGGTTTTATTTTCTTATTCATTTATTTGTCTTTAAAAATGTTTACAATCTTCCTGTTTAGGCAGTACCTCTTTTATACTTAATTGTTCTTAGGTATACTTAATTACCAGGAAAATTTTATGGATCATATCTAACTGATAAGCCACTTGAAGTAAAGGGCTGATGTGATGTAATGTAGACGATAGGATTCTACATAATAGTTTCAGGAGTATATCGATTAAATTGTTTCTTCTTCTTTTTTTTTTTTTTCCTTGAGACAGGGTCTTGCTCTGTTGCTGAGGCTGGAGTACAGTGGTGTAGTGGTATGATCGTGGCTCACTGCAACTTTGACCTCTCAGGCTCAAGCAGCCTCCCACCTCAGCCTTCTTAAGTAGCTGGGACTACAGGCATGCATCACCATGCCTGGCTAATTTTGTATCTTTTGTATGCAGGGTCTTCCTATGGTGCCCAGACTGGTTTGAAACCCCCCAGGCTCAAATGATCCTCCCACCTTGTCATCCCTAAGTGTTGATATTACAGGTGTGAACCATCACACCTGGCCATTTTAGTTTATATTTTTCTAACAGAATATTTGCTGCCTAATTTATGAATATAATCATTATTTTGATGATTATTTTGTATGTATTTAATCTCATTTTAATATAAGCTCTTGGAAATTAGAGATCTTGTCTCTTGTTTGCTACTGTGTTCTCAGTACTTGACCTTGCCTAGTATGAAACAGATATTGAAATAATTGTTGAATAAATGAACCACATTCATAAAGTCTCCAAGTATCACAGCATTCACCATCTAACAAATAAAAGAGCTTGTCTAGAGTAGAGTCACAGTTAACCTGCCATACAAGGAAATGTCAATGAAAATCAACCTTTGTATGTGTAGCTGCTAAGATTTGGGGGCTTTTGTTACTGCAGCATAAACTAGCAAAGTTCAGTGAGACGGCTGATAGAATATACATATATAAATAGACCAGATAGACCAGTAGATAAGATTCCAAAGATAGTTCAATCAGTATTAACTAACCACACCCACACTCTCTTAATTTCCTAACAGAAAGAAGGGAATTCCTGTTCATTAAGATCTGTCTCAAAGAGTACTTTGTGAAAACCTATCTGGGTATGCAAGTATTTAATCAGGACCTTTTTTTGTTCCTCCTGCAGGTTGGAGTGTAGTGGGGCCATCATAGCTCACTGTAACCTCTAACTCAAGGCTCAAGCAATCCTCCTGCCTCAGTCTCCCAGGTAGCTGAGACTGCACGTGTGCACCATCATGCTTGGCTAATTTTTTATTTTAAGAGACCGGGTCTTACTATGTTGCCCAGGCTGATCAGGACTGTTGATTGCATACGACAGAAACCCAACCAACCCTAGTTCTCACCACCTTTTAGTCTGCTCCTTTCTCAGTCTTCCGAGTCTCAACAAATGGCAGTTTCATCCTTCACGTTGCCCAAGCCCCAAATCTTAATGTTAACCTTGATCTCTCTCTTTTATGTCATAGCCTGTATGAAGGCCAATCATGTTCAGACCCAGGTGGAGGTTCCTGCTGACCCAGGCTGTCACTGGCACATTGTCCTTTACTGTCCTCCTGAGGGTGTCTGGAGCTTCAGTGCTGTGTGCTTTGGGCCTCCATGCTGGGGCACCACCGACTCTCACTGTCCAGGGCTTCCAGTGTACTCTCCGAGGCACTGATATAGAATCTTCCCCATTCAGCGCACCAAGAGCAGCCTCACATGGTGTGGGCTGACATGAAGAGGTGCCAGATCCAACATGTAAAAATCATGAGGCACTGCCAGCTGGATGGGTCAGAGAGTCCTCTATCTATTGGGATTCAGATGAGAAGGGAAGATTCCATAGGCCCTAAACATTGCAGCATGACCAGCCGGTGCCACCCATGAGCTGCAGTGCATGGTCAGGTGGAAGTTATTTGACTTCAGGAGAGGACAGTGTTCTCTTCAGGCCTTTTTCTCAGTGGCTAGATCTACGACGCTCTCCTCTCTCTTCCCCTCTCACCCCCTAGTCTCCATCCCCATTTGACTCTCTGTTTCCACCTTGCTGTTCCTTTTCACCTGCTTTCTCCTCTTCAGCTTTCATAGTTCTCCCATCCACCTGCATTTCCCAGGCTAAGGCCTCTACACTGCCCTGGGTGAGGAGATGTGTCTGGATTTGGGTCATGCCCTCTAGATGTGTCCAGGATGGGGAAACATGGCTCAGCTGCCAGTACAGTGGTTTCAGAGAGTTGCCACTTTTGAATGCCTTTCAATCTCCCATTCTAGAATGGTATAGGACTTAAAATTGATGGGCCACTGTGGAATTCTTGGTTTCTCAGGACCTTGTGATGGACGCCTTCTTTCACTGAGCATTCACAGGGTGGCTATTAGGTGCCTGTCCCTGCGCTGGGCTAGGGGCACCATAATGAGTAAATAGCAGGTCACTACCCCATGGAACCCACCATTGCAGGCATCGAGAGAGGGAGAAAGAAAGCGACGTGACCTGTTTTTGTCCTTCTCATATGGTCACCTGCCAGGTCCTAGGGGAGTGGGAACCAGTGCAAGGAGAGAAGCCCAGTTAGAAAGGCAAAGGGACAATGTCAGACCCAGGGGCTAAGACCCCCACCTGCGCTGCGTAGCTTCTGGAGTGGACAAGGAGCAGCAGGGAAGGTTGTGGCCTGGTACTCTGAGGTTCACTGTTTCATCTCATTCCTGTGGGTGCCAGAACTTGTCCAAAGGGAAGACTCAGTGTCTCTAGCAACATCAGGCTAGAGGCAGAAAGTGTCCCGGAGAAGCAGGAAGGATTGTACATCATGGACACGGTATATGGTTTTATAGTACTGCCTGCCCACCCCCCACCCCTCGCTCTCTCTCTCTCTCTCCTAGTTGGCATGTTCCTGTTAATGGAAAATATTGGTGAAATATTGGTGGTGTAAATTCCCCTGGATCTCCTCATCTTCATGTAAGTTTGTCTGTTCCCCCATCCCTCCCTCCTTTCCTCCTTTTCCTTCCTTCCTGAGTTTTCTGATCAGGGTCATGTGAGGCTAAAATCCAGAAATGGCCTGGGAATGCTTTATCTCTAGAGCTCAGGCTATTTTTCTGAGTTCACTACATGTATTGAAAGAGTTTCTATTCTTGTTCGTGGAGGACTGAGGGCCCTTTTTCTGTGCTGGCTGTCAGCCAGGAGACACTCTGGCTTCAGAGGCCACCTGCTTTCCTCCTTACCTGTCTTTTCCATCTTTTTCAACCAATCACAACTCATGGAGTGATTCTCAGGCTCCTCCCTTCTCTGACTTCATCTTCTCTAACCAACCACGGAAAGCTCTGTCACCTACCGAGTGATGTGATTCAATCCACTTCATGCAGGTAACCTCACCATCTTCAAGTCATGTAAGTGTCATACAACAACATAATCACGGGAATGGTGTCTCATCACCTTAACGGGTTTCAGAGGCAAGGGTATGGCATGTTTGGGGACCATTTCAGAAATTCCGTCTACCACAGTTGGAAACTCACATTCCCCCATCTGCAAAATACATGCACCCTCTCCTCTAAAGTTTCCGAATTTCATGTCATTAAAGCATTAGTTCAACATGAAAAATGTCACATAGACCACATCAGATCCAAAGTTTAAAATCTCATCTAAAACATCCACACCAGGTGTGGATGAGGCTTCTGAGGGCGTCCATTAAGTGCAGATCCTTGACATAATTTCCTTACGTCCATCAACCTGTGAAAACTGAACAAACTCCTTATCTGCTCCTAATGTGGAATGGCAGGACAGACACAGAATAACAATTACAGTGATTCTAGTTCAAAAAGAAGGAACATGGAAGGGAGAAGGAAGTCACTGACCCAAAATAGTTTGGAAATGGAGCTGGGCAAAATCCAGCAGGAGGTTCTTATGTAGGATCCACAGTCTGAAACTGACCCTCTGTCCTGTGGGACTTTGCCTCTGGAATATTTGCTCTGCATTTCTTGAAACCATTATTATCTATCTTGGTTTTTTTCCCCACTCCTGTGGCTCCTCTCCTTTCTCCTCATGGCAGCATCCTCCGCTTAATCCTTGGTCAGTCATCCCCAGCAGAATTGGTCAGACATTGCCCATGTGTCGATCTTGACTGTCTCCACGAGGGGCTGTCCTTGTAAGCCCGTGCTCCTCTGATATGGTCTTCACTGACCTGACCTCTCTCAGTCATGATTGCTTTCAGCTGACCTGGCTGGCTTAGGAGAAAACCTAAGACTATGGAGTCCCAGAACCATTCTCTGCCCTCTCTATCTCCAGGAGAGGAAGAAAATAACAGGGATCTTCATGGAGAAATGACCCATGTGAGGGCCTGGGCTCTCCAGCAGTTACAGCAGAGGAAACTCCCTGAGAAAGAATGGAGGAGCTGAATGCCCAGACTGAGAAGGCAGGGTTGTGTTAAGCACTATTTAATTCTCATGTGCTCCCTGCCCCAATCTACTAGCCAGTGAATGACAATGGACTGAGAATAAATAATAGGACTATACAACCATGATAAAGAATTGTGCAAGGAAAGGCTCTTTTACTCTGTTTGCAAGGTGAAATTGCTGTATTTGATTTAAAGTTTTCTGAAAGGCAGCAGTGAGTTTCTGGAGGGCAAGTTACCTGCTTTGCACAGGGAGGGTGAGGCCAAGGCTTGCGTGGTGTGTCTGCTGCCACCAAGTGGTGAGGGAGAGTCTTAGTCTTTCAGGACTTGAGTTTTCTCATCAGTAAAGTAGGGGCTTACTGTACCTCTCTGAGGTCCCTTCCTGCTCAGTTTTCTCTGAGTCCTTGAGGGACTATGATGGTTTTTAACACTCCCTGGACCTGTAACCTGCCTCTAACCTCTCGGGGTCTGACTCTGGTCCCTGTGTTTCTCCTGCAGAGTCTGAGCTGAGTCCACACCCTGGAAGCCCAGAAGCAAGGGATCAGATGGAAGAAAGAAAGTCAGCAGGTTTTGGAAAAGAGAATAACCTGCAAAGACAAGTCAATGCTAGAACAGGTGAAAACCAAAGAAGGGGAGAATAAGGACAAACTGGGCCAGAAGCCTCAGGGGAAATGGGCAATGGGCCTGTGATCATTCAACCATTTGAGGAGCAGCGCAAGCTGAGCAGTGGGGACCGAGAGATAAACTTACTCCACAGGAGTCTCCTGACCCTGGCCAGGGAAAGTCAAAGGGGAGATCAGAGCTGGTTTATAGTGAGGGGGGCAGCACCAACTCCAAGAGGGGGAGGATGCGACCATGAGCTCCCACCCCAGAACCCGGAGCCTTGACCTCTGGGCTGCCATAGCAGTGGATGCTCTTCAGGTCACTGTGGGTTAGAGGGAATAACCATGCTTGGAGAAGGGTTAGAGATGTCCGTTCTTAAATGAATTAGTTCTGCTCTAGGTCAGGTACCAGAGTAAGTGTTTCTTGCCAGTATATGAGGCAGTGCTGCTTTTACCATTCCTCTACACTTTCCATTGAGGAAGGTCTCTATGTGATATGAGTATTTACTGGGTGTTTAATTTTCTCTATACTGTGTTAAGCACTTGGGGTTCAAATAATAATAATGTTTCCCCAAGGAACTCAAGCCCATGAGAGAAAGAACACAAAGACATGATTTCAAGAAAATACTATAGTTCTCTGAAAGTGGGGTGTCATGCATGGCAGCCCAGAGGATATGAGTGTAGGTGAAGACATTGCTCCTAATGACAAGGGGAACCATAAGAGGAATTCTTCAGAGTAGTCTCATTTTTCCTCCAGTCTCCCACAGAAGATGATCCTGGCACATGATTGGTGTAGAGCAGGGCCCTACAGGTGTAGGAAGGGGGTTTGCTGCATCTTGGGAGAAATTATAGCATCCCTGGTAGGACATTTTGGAGAGGAATGTTGGTGATTGGATTGGATGTCTCTAGTCAGTTTTATCCTATCTAGAATGAACACTGCTGAGAACTTCCTTAGTGCCAGACCCTAAGCTGGGAATCATAAACACAGAGATGAGTAGAATAAGATCTCAGCTTTTACAGAACTCTGTCTAGTGAATAGTGAGTTATGAGAAGTGTAGTGATGGTGGCTTCATTAGAGCAAGTGACTCATGCTGCATTGAGATGACCTCATTGGATAGCCTGGTCCCCCTTCTGGTTGTTATCGACAGCTGGCTGACTTGTTCTGGGCCAGTGAGCCTGGACTTCTGCCAGGTGTCTGCATCTTAGGTATAAGCAACACCTCAGTTTCCTGTTGGGTCAAAACAGTTAATACTGCCAAGGTGATCAGAGGACACTAGTGACATCAGTAGCTACTGATGAGGTCCTGGCCAGCTAGGGAAATAGATGTAAGTTTAACAGTGATTCTAAATTTGTTCTTAAAATAATGAGCAGAGAGTATCTGTCTTCTAAGTCAAATACTTTTTGACTTCAGGATTCACCCACGTCCAAAATAAAATATATATCGGCCATATCACTGCCCTGAGATGATTTCTCCCTTTCCTACCAGAAGCCTGCACTATCTGGAGCACCGAGGCTGTCTCAAGCTAACTGATCTGCTCTCTGGATTCCGGGGACACCCGCAGAGCCGGAGGTTGAAGGCACAAGTGTTGATGTCTCCGACCGTTCTGACTCCAGGTTGGTGCACCTCAGCGCCCAGTATTAACCACACAGTAACAGGATGCCACCAACATTTTGATTTGGGGCTGTTGCATCCTAACTTTAATAACATTTAATAGACATTATTTTGTAGAATAATTCTAGGTTTACAGATAAATTGAGCCATTGGTACAGGGAATTCCCTATTCTCTCTTGTCCCCTAGCACACAATTTCCTCTATCATTAGTATCTTCCATTAGTGTGATACATGTTTACAATTGATTAATCAATATTGATACGTTATTATTAACTAAAATCCAGAATTTACATTAGGGTTCATTCTTTGAGTTGTACAGTTCTATGGGGCTTCACAATTACCATGTCATGAATCCCCAGTACAGTATCACACAGAAGAGTTTCACTGCTGAAAACCTCCTTGTGTTCATCCCTCCTCCACGCTTGGCAATCACTGATCATTTCACTCTCTCTACCACTTTGACTTTCCTGGAATGTCCTAGTGTGGGAATCACACAGTGTGTAGAGTCTTTAGACTACTTTCTTCCTAGCATTATGTATTTAAAGTTCCTCCATGTCTTCTTATGTCCTAATAGCTCATTTCTTTCTATCACTGAATCCTATTCTGTTGTACAGATATATATACCACACTTTGTTTAGCCATTCACTTAGTGAAGGACAGTTTGGTTACTTTCAGTTTTTGACAAGTATGAATTCTACTCTGTAAATACTTGGATGCAAGTTTTTGAGTGAACATGGTTTCACATTCCTTTGGTAAATATCTAAAACTGCTATTTGCAGGATTTTGTGGCAAGGCTGTGTTTAACTTTGTAAAAAAAAAAAAAACCTGCCAAACTGTTTTCCAAAGTGACTAGCATTTTGCATTTCCACTAGCAGCGAATGAGAGTTCCCGTTGCTCTGCATCTTTGACAGCCTTTGGTATTGTCACTTGTTTGGATTTGAGCCTTCCTATTAGGTGTATATTATAGTGTAGTGGCATCTCATTGGTTTAATATGCAATTTCCTAGTGACACATGGTTTTGAGCATCTTTTTCATATGCCTATTTGCTATCCATATATCTTTTCTGGTAAAGTATCCAGATCTTTTGCCCATTTCTAAATTGGGTTGTTTGCTTTTTTATGATTGACTTTTAAGAATTCTTTATATTTTTGGACACCAGTCTTTCATCAGATGTGTATTTTGCCAATATTTTTTTCCCAGTTTATCACTTGTTTCTTCATTTTCTTAACAATGTCTTTCACAGAGCAGAAGTTTTTAATTTTAATGAAGTTCAACTAACCAATTTTTTGTTTCCTGGATTGTGCTTTTGGCATTGTATCTGAGAAGTCACCACCAAACCCAAATTCACCCAGATTTTCCCGTATTTGGTCATCCAGGTGTTGAGGTATAAGGTCGATTTTGTGAAAGTTGTAAAATCTGTGCCTAGATTTACTGATTTTTCACATATGGATATCTAGTCATTCTAGCACCATTTGTTGAAAAGACTATCCTTTCCTGTTCAGTTGCCTTTGCACCTTTCTCAAAGATCAGTTGAGTATTTATGTAGGTGTATTTCTGAGCTCTGTATTCTTTTCTAGTGACCTATTTGTCTGTTTTTTTCTTTCTTCACCAATTTCCACACTGTTTGGTTACTGTAGCTTTATAATTAGTACTGAAGTTGGCAGTGTCAGTTCTGTGGGGATTTTTCTGATCTTTACTATGAGAACCTGGTTGGGCTCCTGGGAGTAAAACTTAGAAAAGTGTGAGATCCCCGCTAAACCTGGTCCCCAAGGAGATTTTAATGCTCAAGCCAGGCCACCCTCGGCTTCTAGAAATCTGTCAGTACCATTTAAGTGCTCCTCCCAGTTGCTGGCTTCAGCAGCTTCTGTTCCCCATATTTGCCTGTCTTTCTTGTTTTCAGCATGGCAATTTGCCCTGTGACCTCTCATCTAGGCCCTCTATTTGATAATGTTCAGTTTGTTCAGCTTTTTTCTTGTGAGGACAAGTGGTGACCTCCTGGCTCCTTACAAGTTGGAGTAGAAACCAGAAATTTCATTTAACAGGTTACTTGTAATGGAAGTCACTAATCTCAAATGTAGAATTGAATAATTTAAGTAGATATATAGAATTTTGCAGCCATTGGCCGGGTGTGGTGGCTCACGCCTGTAATCCAAGCACTTTGGAGGCCAAGATGGGTGGATCACCTGAGGTCAGGAGTTCAAGAACAGCCTGACCAACATGGTGAAACCTCATCTTTAAAATATATATACATATATATTTTTTTTAATTTTGCATCCATCACCTCAGTCCCCTCTTAGAATGTTTCTTCCCTCCACAGATTCCACAGAGCCTCTGTGCAGTCATTTTCCAATCCCTGGTCACCAAGACAGAGCCTGAACAAAGTAAACATTTGGAAAACAGACATTAAATTTCAGCTTTTATTAGATTGGAATTTTATATAATGGACCATTGTCTTACTCTTGTGGCAACCAGAGGAGATATTTTATTCTAAGGACTTTCTTTGGTGGAAACTTAATAGTTCTGTTTATTGCTCTCCTTGAATTGGTTCATCTATGCTGGTGACAGATAGTTGCTATCAATCCTTGTCTGGTGAGCACAAGTGAAAGAGCTAAAAGAAAATCTTCCATTAGAAATGCAGATGATGAATTTGCAGATAATGTTATGCCGAGTTAAAATTATTTATTTAATTATTTAATTTTTTTTTTTTTTTTTTTTTTGAGATAGAGTCTCACGCCGTCACCAGTCACCAAGCTGGAGTGCAGTGGCGCGACCTCGGATCACTGCAACCTCTGCCTCCTGGGTTCAAGCAATTCTCCTGCCTCAGCCTCCCGAATAGCTGGAATTACAGACGTGCACCACCACGCCAAACTAATTTTGTATTTTTAGTAGAGATGGGGTTTCTCCATGTTGGTCAGGCTGGTCGTGAACTCCCAACCTCAGCTGATCTGCCCACCTCAGCCTCCCAGAATGTTGGGATTACAGGCGTGAGCCAGCATGCTGGAGTGCTATGTGCAATCTCAGCTCACTGCAACTTCTAGCTCGGGTTCCAGTGATTCTTGTGCTTTCGCCTTTTGAGTTGCTGGGATTACAGGCAGGCACCACCATGCCCAGCTAATTTTGTATTTTTAGTAGAGAGAGTTTTTCCATGTTGGTCAAGCTGGTCTCGATCTCTCAACCTCGGGTGATCCACCCACCTTAGCCTCCCAAAGTGCTGGAATTACATGCATGAGCCACCACATGTGGCTGGGAGTTAAGTATTTTACCATCTTTTTTTCTCTCAGAAATTGGGTTAGTAACACTGAGGAGACACTTCTCACCTGCCTGAAATGCCCTTCATTATCTTCTTCAAGTTGCAAGGGCTCTGGAACAGCCCTTGCAGAGTCCTGTTCTTGTCTCATTGTCTCTTGCATTACTGGCTGATAGTGATATGATATGCAAAAGCATTTGCCTCCATGTTAAAATGTAAACATGGCAGATATTGTTTCATCTATTCACAGCTGGAACTTTCTGCTCTACAGTCCATGATGACTGTGCAAGAAGAAGAGCTGCAGGTGCAGGAAGAAGAGTGGCAGGTGCGGGAAGAAGAGCCGCAGGTGCGGGAAGAAGAGCCGCAGGTGCGGGAAGAAGAGCCGCAGGTGCGGGAAGAAGAGCGGCAGGTGCGGGAAGAAGAGCGGCAGGTGCGGGAAGAAGAGCCGCAGGTGCGGGAAGAAGAGTGGCAGGTGTGGGAAGAAGAGCCGCAGGTGCAGGAAGAAGAGCTGCAGGTGCAGGCTGCTGATATGGAGCCTCTGACCGGGAAAATACAGATTAAAGAAGACCTCATGAAGGTCCTTCAGAATTTTTACAGATCATTGGAAATGTTCACATCTCAGATTACCTGTAGGGCATCTTCAGACACTATGCACACATTGAATCCCTTGCCCAGTGCTTATCAGTATCCCAATTGAACGTATAGGCAGACTGTCTCAAGAGCATTTGTTCCTCTGCTCCTCAACTGAATAATACTTTTATTACTATTTCCATGTTTACACTTACTTTTTGACTTCTAGGACCTGAAAACACAACTGGTTATCCTGAAGACATACCAGCAGTGGAACGCCTGATCCAGAAAGTATTACTTTGGGAAAAATTTGCTTCAGTGGAATCCCAGGGTCAAGAAATTTCAGGAAACCAAAGACAACAGGTAAGTTATTGGAATATAGACTCACACTGTCTCTCTCCCTCCCTCCCTCCATCCCTCCCTTTCTACACACACACACACACACACACACACACACACACGGAGTCTCACTGTGTCACCCAAGTTCGAGTGCAGTGGTATGACCATGGCTCACTGCAGCCTCAAACTCTGGGGCTCAAGCCAACTTCCTGCCTCAGCCTCCTGAGTAGCTGGAGCTGCAGGTGCATACCACCACACCTGGAACAAACCTTGGTTTTCTACTGTGAAATAAACCATGATATTGGTTTTTCATAAGTGGTATTTCATTGGGAAACTGCTCTAAAGTTTCCTACTTTGATCGGTAGCAGCTATAGATGCCTCTTTCTGACGTGTGGTTCTGTAAAGAGCAGCAGTTCTTTTTGACACATACCGGTAGATATCCCTCACACTCATACATAAGTCATCTCCATCTCAACTGAATCTTTCTCCTCTATCTGCATTTAGCCATATTCACATGTCTCCCAGTTTAAAAAGAGAGAAAGAAACCCCTGCCTTTGCCCCAACTTTCTTTGTAGCTACACCCCGTTTAAGCTTTCTTTTCCAACAGACTTACTTGCCTGTACTCCCTGTTTCCATTAGCATCTCCGTCACTAACTACTTGCCCCACTCCATTCTGGCTTTCACTCTACCTTAAACAGCTCTCTGTTGGTTATACATGATCATAGCTTCTTATCTTTATAGCACTGTTACACTCACAATGGCACACGTCTATGATTAATGAATGTCTTTCTCCTCCACTAGATAGTAGGCTTTCCCTTAGAACCTGGAACAGAGTCTTTCCCATAGAAGGTGCTCAATAAATATTTATTGAAGGAATGAAAAATACTGGTAGCTCATATTATATATGTTTCCCTCTTGCCGTTTCTCTCTTACTCCTTTCTCTTAGCTGCTTTCCTGTGCTTCTAACTTCTCTCTCATTTTTCTTCTTTTTACTCCCATGTTTGAATTCCACCTTACAGGGTTTTAAAGATTAAAAAAATAGTGAATATGACATTGATTTGAAAACTGTGCAATACTATCAAAAGCTTAAGTACTAAGATAGCAGACTTTTTAAGTCATAGTACATGCTAATGCATTTGCTTGTTTCCCACGATGAACTGTGGCTTCATGTCTCACTGCACCATTTGTGTGTTGCTTCTTCTCTCTTCTTTTCTCAGTTGCTGCTGATGCTAGAAGTAGATGAACAGAGTCGGCTCAGTGAGGACTTAGAAGCAAAGAGACAGCTCTCTAGCAGTCTGGTGAAGTTCCATGCCCATCCAGAGAAGTAAGAGAATGGCTATTTTTCCTTTTATTCTTTGTTGAAATTTTTATTTCTTTTACTACTGTATTCTTTTTATGCCTTTTCTTCTTCCTGAAGTGTAGATGCTTATGATACTGAACAGGGGATAAAAAACAGGGACAATAACTGGGAATACCCACGTTGTCATTTGTTTTATGGATTGCTCTGAGCCTCGATGTCAAAATCTTAAGTCAGGAATAGTGCCTGTTTCACACAGCAATTGCAGAGATATTTTAAATAAGAAGACAGCTTTGGTGTCTAAAACAATGCCTTGCGTATAGTCAGCACTCAAGTATGTTCCTTTCCTTTTGTGATCCATGTCCTGTTAAAGGCTGTTCTATTATAAAAGTAAGGCTACACCCTGTCTCTACTGAAAATACAAAAATTTGCAGGGCATGGTAGTGTGCGCCTGTAGTCCCAGCTACTCAGAAGGCTGAGGCAAGAGAATCACTTGAACCCAGGAGGCACAGGTTGCAGTGAGACAAAATCATGCCACTACGCTCCAGCCTGGCGACAGAGAGACACTCTGTCTCAAAAAAAAAAAAAAAAAAAAAAAAAAGGTCTGGCTATGAAGGGCACTGATATTTATTTAATATCGTTGAAAAATATGTATTAATTTGGATGGCTAATATCACCCAGAGACCAATAGCCATCATGACAAATACATTTTCTTCTACCTCTTGATTTTTGGTCATATATATGATACCTTTCTGGATCATTTTATATTCTCCTAATTTCTTTTTTTTTTTTTTTTTTTTTTTTTGAGATGGAGTTTCACTCTTGTTACCCAGGCTGGAGTGCAATGGCGCAATCTCAGCTCACTGCAACCTCCGCCTCCTGGGTTCAGGCAATTCTCCTGCCTCAGCCTCCTGAGTAGCCGGGATTACAGGCATGCACAACCGTGCCAAGCTAATTTTTTTTATTTTTAGTAGAGACTGGGTTTCATCATGTTGACCAGGATGATCTGGATCTCTTGACCTCGTGATCCACCTGCCTTGGCCTCCCAAAGTGCTGGGATTACAGGCGTGAGCCACAGCGCCTGGCCTATTCTCTTCATTTCTTTTTCTCATTTTGCCTTCTATTTTAGCACCTTTTACTCTTTTTCACTGTTTATTTATTTTTTACTATTCAGCTTTTTTCTAATTTATTGCTGGGCTTTAATAATGTTTTCTTTGTACCAGGAAAATGAAGGCAGAGGAAAGGTATGATAGTACCAGTTGATTTTGTGACTCTTTGTTTTCTAAAAAGCAATTTATTAAAAAGAGAGAGAGAGTTTCCAGATAAGTTTGGGATTTTTTTGAGATAGAGTCTTGCTCTTTTGCCAGTGCTGGAGTCCAGTGGCACAATATCAGCTCACTGCAACCACTGCCTCCCAGGTTCAAGTGATTCTCCTGGCTCAGCCTCCTGAGTAGATGGGATTACAGGTGCATGCCACCATTCCTGGCTAATGTTTGCATTTATATTTATTTACTTTATGTATTTGTATATTCGAGACAGGCTTGGATTTGTGTATTTATTTATCTAGCTATTTAATTGTTTAGAAGGATTCCTGACATTTACCCATTTATTTATTTAGATCCAGGCTGGCAACGTTTATTTATATACTTATGTATGGATGTGCAGGCTTGCATTTATTCACTTTTTTAACTATCTGTATAATGATTTAGAGGTTAGCTCACATTTCTTGATTGATTGATTTTAGACGGATTCTGGCTCTCTCACCAGGCTGGAGTGCAGTGGCACAGTCCTGGCTCTGTGCAACCTCCCCCTCTTTGGTTCAAGCAATTCTTCTGCCTCAGCCTCCCTTGTAGCTGGGACCCCAGGTGCGTGCCACCACGCCTGGCTAATATTTTTGTATTTTTAGTAGAGACCGGGTTTCTCCATGTTGGCCAGGATGGTCTCGATCTCTTGACCTTGTGTTCCAACCGTCTTGGCCTCCCAAAGTGCTGGGATTACAGGACTGAGCCATTTTGCCTGGCCTTTATTTATTTATTTACATAATTACTGATTTATTTGCTTAGAGGCAGGAAGGCCGGCTTTCTTTTTTATTTATTTATTTTTGCATTTTAGGTTTTGAGGTACATGTGCAGAACATGCAAGACAGTTGCATAGGTACACACATGGCAGTGTGCTTTGCTTCCTTTCTCCCCTTCACCCACATTGGGCATTTCTCCCCAGGCTATCCCTCCCCAGCTCCCCCCCCGCTGGCCCTCCCCTTTTCCCCCCAAAAGACCCCAGTGTTTAGTACTCCCCTCCCTGTGTCCACGTGTTCTCATTTTTCATCACCCGCCTATGAGTGAGAATATGTGGTATTTCATTTTCTGTTCTTCTGTCAGTTTGCTGAGAATGATGTTCTCCAGATTCATCCATGTCCCTACAAACAACACGAACTCATCATTTCCGATTGCTGCATAATATTCCATGGTGTATATGTGCCACATTCTCCCAATCCAGTCTATCATCCATGAGCATTTGGGTTGGTTGCAGGTCTTTGCTATTGTAAACAGTGTTGCAATGAACATTCGTGTACATGTGTCCTTATAGTAGAACGATTTATAGTCCTTTGGATATATACCCAGTAATGGGATTGCTGGGTCAAATGGAATTTCTATTTCTAAGGCACTGTCTTCCACAATGGTTGTGGTAATTTACACTCCCACCAACAGTGTAAAGGTGTTCCTTTTTCTCCACATCCTCTCCAGCATCTGTTGTCTCCAGATTTTTTAATGATCGCCATTCTAACTGGCGTGAGATGCTATCTCAATGTGGTTTTGATTTGCATCTCTCTGATGACCAGTGACGATGAGCATTTTTTCATATGATTGTTGGCCTCATATATGTCTTCTTTCGTAAAGTATCTGTTCATATCCTTTGCCCACTTTTGAATGGGCTTTTTTCCTGTAAAACTGTTTGAGTTCTTTGTAAATTCTGGATATCAGCCCTTTGTCAGATGGGTAAACTGCAAAAATTTTTTCCCATTCTGTTGGTTTCCGATTCACTCTAGTGACTGTTTTTTTTTTTTTTTTGCTGAACAGAAGCTGTGGAGTTTGATTAAGCCCATTTGTCTATTTTGGCTTTTGTTGCCAATGCTTTTGGTGTTTTGTTCATGAAGTCCTTGCCTACTCCTATGTCCTGGATAGTTTTGCCTAGATTTCCTTCTAGGGTTTTTATGGTGCCAGGTCTTAGGTTTAAGTCTTTAATCCATCTGGAGTTAATTTTAGCGTAAGGTGTCAGGAAGGGGTCCAGTTTCTGCTTTCTGCACATGGCTAGCCAGTTTTCCCAACACCATTTGTTAAACAGGGAATCCTTTCCCCATTGCTTGTTTTTGTCAGGTTTATCAAAGATTGCATGGTTGTAGATATGTGGTGTTGCCTCCGATGCCTCTGTTTTGTTCCATTGGTCTACATCTCTGCTTTGGTACCAGTACCATGCTGTTTTGATTACTGTAGCCTTGTAGTATAGTTTGAAATCCGGTAGTGTGATGCCCCCCGCTGTGTTCTTTTTGCTTAGAATTGACTTGGCTATGCGGGCTCTCTTTTGGTTCCATATGAAGTTCATGGTGGTCTTTTCCAGTTCTGTGAAGAAAGTCAATGGTAGCTTGATGGGGATAGCGTTGATTCTGTAAATTACTTTGGGCAGTATAGCCATTTTCACAATATTAATTCTTCCTAACCATGAACATGGAATGTTTCTCCATCTGTTTGTGTCCTCTCTTATTTCGTTGAGCAGTGGTTTGTAGTTTTCCTTGCAAAGGTCCCTTACATTCCTTGTGAGTTGTATTCCTAGGTATTTTATTCTTTTTGTAGCAATTGTAAATGGCAGTTCATTCTTGATTTGGCTTTCTTTAAGTCTGTTATTGGTGTAGACGAATGCTTGTGATTTTTGCACATTGATTTTATATCCTGAGACTTTTCTGAAGTTGCTTATTAGTTTCAGGAGTTTTTGGGCTGAGGCGATGGGGTCTTCTAGGTATACTATCATGTCGTCTGCAAATAGAGACAATTTGGCTTCCACTTTCCTATTTGAATGCCCTTTATTTCTTTTCTTTGCCTGATTTCTCTGGCTAGAACTTCCAGTACTATATTGAATAGGAGTGGTGAAAGAGGGCATCCTTGTCTAGTGCCAGATTTCAAAGGGAATGCTTCCAGTTTTTGCCCATTCAGTATGATATTGGCTGTTGGTTTGTCATAAATAGCTTTTATTACTTTGAGATACATTCCATCGATACCGAGTTTATTGAGGGTTTTTAGCATAAAGGGCTGTTGAATTTTGTCGAATCCCTTCTCTGCATCAATTGAGATAATCATGTGGTTTTTGTTTTTGGTTCTGTTTATGTGGTGAATTACGTTTATAGACTTGCATATGTTGAACCATCCTTGCATCCCCGGGGTGAATCCTACTTGATCATGATGGATAAGTTTTTTGATTTGCTGTTGCAATCAACTTGCCAATATTTTATTGAAGATTTTTGCATCTATGTTCATCATGGATATTGGCCTGATGTTTTCTTTTCTTGTTAGGTCTCTGCCAGGTTTTGGTATCAGGATGATGTTGGTCTCATAAAATGATTTGGGAAGGATTCCCTCTTTTTGGATTATTTGGAATATTTTCAGAAGGAATGGTACCAGCTCCTCTTTGTGTGTCTGGTAGAATTCGGCTGTGAACCCATCTGGACCTGGACTTTTTTTGTGTGGTAGGCTGTTAATTGCTGCCTCGACTTCTGACCTTGTTATTGGTCTATTCATAGTTTCAGCTTCCTCCTGGTTTAGGCTTGGGAGGACACAGGAGTCCAGGAATTTATCCATTTCTTCCAGGTTTACTAGTTTATGTGCATAGAGTTGTTTGTAATATTCTCTGATGATGGTTTGAATTTCTGTAGAATCTGTGGTGATTTCCCCTTTACCATTTTTTACTGCATGTATTTGGTTGTTCCCTCTTTTCTTATTTATCAATCTGGCTAGTGGTTTGTCTATTTTGTTGATCTT